CTGCTCACTGTCGTCTAGACTACGCCGCCAGTCTTGTTGCTGAGTCTGCGTCTGTCTGTCCTCCGTCCGTCGGGGGTGAGTGTGCTCTTGGCACGGACGTCCTTGAGGACAGGCAGGAGGACCTTGAGTGTCTTGCAGCCGCTGCGCCTTATCTCGTATCCATGCTGCTTGCCCCTGAGGGAGACCCGGATGCACCAGACATCCCTACCCCGCGCTCTTACGCTGAGGCGATCGTGGGTGAGTACTCCTCTCAGTGGCAGACAGCCATGGACGCAGATATGGCATCCTGGAAGTCCACAGACACCTACGTCGACGAGGTTCCCCCTCCTGGGGCGAACATTGTCAGTGGCATGTAGATTTTCAGGGTGAAGCGGCCGCCAGGTTCTCCACCTGTCTTCAAGGCTCGTTACGTGGCTCGAGGCTTCAGTCAGCGAGAGGGAGTTGACTTCTTCCAGACCTTCTCCCCCACCCCGAAGATGACCACTCTTTGGGTGCTAATGCACGTTGCCGCTCAGCGTGACTACGAGCTTCACTCTCTTGACTTCAGCACAGCCTTCTTACAGGGCAGCCTGCACGAGGAGATTTGGCTGCGCCGCCCTCCTGGCTTCACTGGGTCGTTCCCTCCTGGTACCCAGTGGAGCCTCCGGCGGCCAGTCTACGGTCTCCGCCAGGCGCCACGTGAGTGGCACGACACACTGAGGACGACACTTGCGGCTCTTGGGTTTGCTCTGTCGACTGCTGACCCGTCGCTGTTTTTGCGCACCGACACTTCTTTGCCGCCGTTCTACGTTCTCGTGTACGTCGACGACTTGGTCTTTGCCACTGCTGACACTGAGGCTCTCGCCCTGGTGAAGTCGGAGCTGCAGAAGAGACACACATGCACAGACCTGGGTGAACTGCGCAGCTACCTTGGCTTGCAGATCACCCGGGACAGAGCACGCCGCACCATCACACTGACTCAGTCACACATGGTGCAGCAGGTCCTTCAGCGCTTCGGTTTCACCTGGTCCTCAGCACAGGCCACTCCTCTGGCTACAGGTCACTCGCTCTCAGCTCCACCTTCGGACGAGTCCGTAGAGCCGAGTGGTCCTTACCCAGAGTTAGTGGGCTGCCTCATGTACCTGATGACTTGCACTCGTCCTGACCTTGCGTACCCTCTTGGCCTTCTGGCTCGCTACGTGGCTCCTGGTCGGCACCGAAAGGTGCACATGGATGCTGCCAAGAGGGTACTATGCTACTTGTGCAGTACATCGGGCATGGGGCTCGTGCTTGGAGGACGGGATGACGTTGTCCTCACAGGTCACTCGGACGCCTCTTGGGTTGACGACCAGGCTACGCAGCGGTCGTCACAGGGTTACACCTTCAGCCTTGGTTCTGGTTCAGTTTCCTGGCGTTCTACACGTTCGTCTTCAGTTCTCGGCTCCAGCTGTGAGGCAGAGATCTACGCCACTGCCATGGCTGCACAGGAGCTGCGCTGGCTCACCTACCTGCTGACCGACTTGGGAGAGAGGCCTCGTTCTCCTCCAGTTCTGTACGTCGACAACAAGGCCGCCATTGCCTTGTGTCAGGAGCACAGACTGGAGCACAGAACAAAGCACATCGCTCTCCGTTACTTTCTTGCTCGAGAGCTGCAGCAGCGTGGCCAGCTTCGTCTTACCTACGTGGCCACTCGGGCCAACACTGCTGATATATTCACCAAGGCGCTTCCGCCTGGTGATCATCAGCATTTCTGCACTTTGTTAGGCCTTGTGCCCACTTTTCCTCACTTGGTGTAGGCTTTGTTTGTACCATGATTTATATGTATTCCTGCATGCTTGTTCTTGTAGGTAGATATAACTGTACTGTAGTTGTTACATATATATTTCTGCATGTGAACTGGCCTTGTGGCCTTCTTGCTTGTGCTCAGACTGCGTGGTGACGTTGTGATCCACCCTGAGATTGCTTTGCACTTCCTGACTGGTCTTGTGACCCTCTGTTTTCCCCCACTTTGCTTATGGGGGTGTGTCAAACATATGTATATATATGTTATAGTTTGGGTAGGCTTAGTGGGGTACTTACTGTGGGGTACAACCCCTTGGGTTTTCACTTTGTACCAACCCTCTCGATAGTCGAAACTACTTTTTCCCGTAAGATTCTAACAATATATGTTATGATTTGTGTGCATTCAGGTTTCAGGGAGTGTAAAGAAAATTCATTTTCCTTACTTCGCGTCCCTGCTCAGCGCGTACACCACTGTTCCCGCCAACAGCACTCCACAATATTCCGTTACCACTCGCAACATTCGTCTCGACACCATTCCCGCCACTGTACACGATGCGACCCAACCTCACGGTTCGGTTGGTAACCCGCGCTCCGGACCTCCGCCTCGACAGTCCCCCAACCTCGGCATCAGGCCCGTCGCGCACCCCATTTACCACATGTTACCGATATCACCGTAGCTTCGCTATATATTCTTCGCTCAATCTTTCGCTCATTGTATTCTTGTCTCGATAGTGCAATCCTCGCTCGATCACTCAATTGCACGGGACACCAGCCGCGATCATCAGCGACCGTGATACGAAATTTACCAGCAATTTCTGGCGGAACCTGTGACAGCAGTTCGGCACGAGGCTGCAGATCATTTCTTCGTACCACCCCGAATCCGACGGATAGACAGAGCGGACAAATCATACCATGGAGCAGTTAATCCGAGCCACGTGCGACGACCCCACCACATGGGAACAACAACTGCCACTAATCGAATTCGCGTACAACAATTCGCCATCCGCCACGACCCAACAGTCACCATTTTACCTGAATTACGGACAAGACCCTTCAGTACCCATGACTCCGAATCCCAACAACCCGGTGCCACGCGCGCAACAATTCGCAGAAGTCCTACAGGAAGCACGGACCAAGGCAGCAGACGCAATTAAAAAGGCCAATGTCATCGCTAAGCGCAACGCCGACCGCCACCGCAGGCCCTTCACTTACCAGCCTGACGACTTAGTTCTACTCGACACCCAAAACCTCCGCCTGCCCATAACTCTGAAACTCCGCCCCCGATATTGTGGGCCATTTCACATCAGCCACATGATTACACCCGTCACCGCCCACCTCCTCCTCCCTGCTGACTGGTACGTCAGCCCGTCCTTCCACGTCAGCCTGCTTCGCCCCTACATTCCATCCACCAGCCAGCTGGCCCGACATCGCCCAACCAGCATGACACGACCACCGACTGAGCCAGTCATCACGCTCGAGAAGATTCTTAGCCACCGATTTCGTGACCCATGAGGAGTTCGAAGGGTCGAATTTCTAATCCGCTGGAGAGACCGCACGCCCACCGAGGACAATTGGGTCCCACTGGACAAAATCGAAAACCACCCCGTCCTCAACGAGTATCTGCGCAGCCGAAACTTCCGAGACATATACGCGCTCTCGTAAAGAGAGGCCTCCTTAAGGGGGGGGGGGGGTAGTATAAGGAAAATTCCTTTTCCTTACTTCGCGTCCCTGCTCAGCGCGTACACCACTGTTCCCGCAAACATCACCCCACAATATTCCGTTACTACTCGCGACATTCGCCTCGACACCATTCCCGCCACTGTACACGATGCGACCCAACCTCACGGTTCGGTTGGTAACCTGCGCTCCGGACCTCCGCCTCGAGGTATATAGCTTCTCTATATATTCTTCGCTCAATCCTTCGCTCATTGTATTCTTGTCTCGATAGGGAAATCCTCGCTCGATCACTCAATTGCACTCGTAACAGGGAGCAAGCAATTCCAAGCCTGCGAGCCGCACTCCACATTCGGACTTCACCAGTTTGCCAACGTCACCAGAACGCCCGCGTGACGAGGAGGAGTGTCTTGCCAAGTTTGCCACATCACGATCCACGGCCTTTTCTGTGCCCAGACTTCACAGAACACATGAGATTGCATCTGAGGCGTTGAGAAGAATCACCCAAATCTCGCATCTGTTCTGAGTGAAAGTGGTTGAAGAACTGGACACGTCAAGGCAGGCTGGCAAATTCCCGTCCTGGCGTGTCAAACTGTTACCACGAAATGAGGAAAGGTTGGAAATCGGAGTAAATTGATTCAGACCACTTCAAGCCCCATTGTTTAAAAACGACCGCTCCGAAGTTCTAGCATGATTTTGCGGTTTCATCATGAAGCGCCCCCCTATCTCAAACAGCCTCGGGATTCAACAAAAAGTGGTCACGAAAGATGAACAGTCGAGTCGTACTCTATCCCAGACGTGTAAACGCGTCCTGAATACAGGCTTTTCCACTTTCCCGTCTGCTCACATTCCCTTCCACCGCATCACACTTGTGCTCACCCGCAGCATTTTTATCATACCATTTCACATTTGCTGCATCACAAGCACAACAAGCAGCACCACCTGCCTTCAGGACACTGTGTTCCCTCCTCTCCTGCGTCGATTCGAGGCGAGGCTTGCAGCGTCTAGATCAGGGCCTCGTTTCGGCGAGCTTGTTTCTGTTCTCGCCGTTTTGCGTGGTGCGTGTTCGCTCGTGCTTGCCGAGTAGCTCTTCTCTTGCATCCCACGCGCTGCGTTTGGCGGCAACTATCACATAGCTTGCAGAGGCGACGCGTACGTCCCGCGACTTAAGGGTCTACCACCACTCCACATCGTTTCACAGTTTTCGCGTCTCTGGTCGCATGGCGGCCGTGCGAAGAACCGCAGTCGCTGCGACGCGGCTGTTGGACTGCGTCGCCGCAGTCGCCGCATCTGGGCGGCACCACATGACTGCCGTGGATTTTTCTTCCCAATCCATCCCCGATAAAGTCATACCACGGGACTACCACACCGCGCCTATCTCCGCGCCGAGTAACCTCATCCGTTGCTCCTCGTCGTCCGTCGCGACTTATTCCTCGCCGCCCGACGCGCCATGCTTTTCCGAGTCGCGGTCGACTGGGAGAAACCACCCTGCGAGCTTATTTCACGGCGCGCTCTTCTTCGGGATAGGATACGCGCGCCGATTCCACCCCCCACGACCCGCCGCTATGTCCCCAATCTCCGCGCGCGGCATCGCCGGAAGTTCCGCCAGTGGGGGCGCTACTAGTGGCGCGGAGCCCGGCGGAGGCGCGGAGGACTGCGGGGGCGGGCACGCGATTCTGGAGCTGAAGCTAGCGCAGACGGGCGAGGGGATTGCGGAGTGCGAGTTGCTGCAGTGGTTTGTGGAAGAGGTGAGGGGCGGAGCAGCGCGGGGCGAGACGGGGAGGGCCGGGAGGAGGGGGGGTGAGGGGAGGTGAGGGGGGGTGAGTGGGGGTGAGTGGAGGGACGGGGAGGGTGCGTGAGGGTGGGTGACTGGATATCACTTTCACTCACGAACTTTATGCATCCTAGAAATATTCCCAACAACCTCGCACGTTTCTTTCGCCCCCTCGTGTTCTCCTTCCCCAATTCTCCCCCTCTTCTCCCTCTTCCTTCCACCTTCCCTCCCTACCCGCCCGCTCCTCCCGCTCCCTCCACCCCCCACTCTCCTCCGCGCGCGCGCAGGGCGAGGAGGTGCGCGCGTTCCAGCGCGTGTGCCAGGTGCAGAGCGACAAGGCGACGGTGGACATCACGAGCCGCTTCCACGGCCGCATCCTGCGCACGCACTTCATGCCGGGCGACGTCGTTAAGGTGCGCACCGCCACGCGCGGGGAAGGGAAGGATGAGGGGGGTGGGGGGGGGAGGATGGGGGGGAGGATGGGGAATGTTGTGACGGGGATGGCAGGGGGGGGTGTTTGAAGGGAAGGGGATGGTGGAGCGGATGAGGTGCTGAACAATGTTTCCTGGGTTTTTTATTTCTCTTTCTTTCTTGCTTCTTTTTTTGCTTATATGATGTCACAACTCCCTTTGTGTGACGACGAATTACTCTCTATAAATCCATCCATCCCACCATGACGGTGATTTCTCTCTCTATAAATCCATCCATCCCACCATGACGGTGATTTCTCTCTCTATAAATCCATCCATCCATCCCACCATGACGGTGATTTCTCTCTCTATAAATCCATCCATCCATCCCACCATGACAGGTTGGGGAGACGTTAGCGGACATCCTTCCTCCCGGCACGTCATCAGAGCCACAATCATCGTCAGCCTCCTCCACCTCTTCCGCTTCCGCCACGTCGCCGTCTCACTCCGATCAAAGCCACGAAGTGCTGGCAGTGCCAGCGGTGCGCCACCTGGCGAGGACGCACGGGATCAACCTGGCTGACGTGGAGGGCACGGGCCGGGACGGGCGCGTGACTAAAGAGGATGTGCTTGCATACGTGCAGTCACGGCAAGGCGTGGAGGAGGAGATGAGGATGGAAGAACATGTGCTGGAAGGACCAGAACCGGCCATGGCTGAACCAGGGGGGCTAGGAGCAGCAGCAGGAGGAGGAGGAGGAGGAGGAGGAGGAGGAGGAGGAGGAGGAGGAGGAGGAGGAGGAGGAGGAGGAGGAGGAAAGGGAGGAGTGCTGGTTGGAGAGGGGGTGGAGGCTGGGGCAGGAGAGGCGGTGGGGCGGATGGGTGTTGCTGCTGTTGCTGTTGGTGCGCAAGGAGAGGGTGTGGGCGCGGGTGCGGGTGCGAGAGCACGCGTTGAAGACTCTAACGACATCCTGCTGCCAATGCGGTGAGATGGTCGGGGCATGTGGTGACGTAGATGCATTGAAAAAAGCATGGAAGGAATGGGATTAACAGACTAAATACTGTGTTAGTGGGCAATGCATGGCACTGCGTGCATTCCAGTGGGAAGCCACAATCGGTCCAACGTCAACACCACACATACTCGAGAAAGCATTAAATCCCTCTGCGAAATGTCTCTATCGCCCACGCTTCGCTCCTTCCCACTCGCTGGACTCTCCGCTCTTCCCCCATGTGCCCCCGTCTCCCTGCCTCATTGCACCTCCTGATCCTCCCCCTCAACGTGATAACGCGTTTTGACTCGTTCCAATACCCCCCTGCTCAGCTTCGCCTCCTCATCTCCCTCATATCCTCATCTTTCCACCACCCCATCTTCCAATCCCCCCCATGCAGAGGGTACCGGAGGGCCATGGCGAGGGCAATGGCAGCAGCGCTGGCAGTGCCGCACTTCACCTTCATGGATGAGGTCGCCATGGATGCTGCTCTCTCCCTGCGCTCCCAGCTCAACTCCGCCTCCTCCTCTGCTGCTGCCTCTGCCGCTGCTGCTGCTGCTGCCAGTGCCGGTGGTGGTGGTTCTGCTGCTAAGCGTGCTGCAGCTGACAAGGCAGGAGGAGCGGCGGCAGTGCGGTTGACGCATCTGCCGATTCTGGTGAAGGCTCTATCGGTAGCGCTGCACGACTACCCCACGCTCAACAGCACTCTTGATGATGCCTCCTTTAACCACCTGCGCTGCAAACGTAAGACGCCCCTGCTGCGACTGCTGCTGCTGCTACCCAACTTCAGTTGCTGCCGCTGCTGCGGCTGGCAAAGACGATGTCCCCCATGCTGCTGGGTGTGCTTCCAGGGCTGTTCGACCCACCTTGTGGTGCCTCTGATTCCCCCGAATCAGCCATCCCCACATATCCTCGCACGTGTGTGCATGCAGGGTCGCACAACATTGGCATTGCCATGGCAACGCCATCAGGCCTCGTGGTTCCCAATGTCAAGAACTGCCAGAGCAAGTCCATTCCCCAGGTATACCGCCGCTATTTTTTTCTCGAGAATATCGCCTTGTTTCTCGAGTATATCTCATTCGAGGCTATTCGAGGCTATTTGAGGCTATTCGAAGCTGAAAAGGGTGCCAAGTTGAAATCGGCCTACTCTCCTCGTCCCCTCGCCCCGCCTCTTCCGCCTCCTCCACCAATCAGATCGCAGAGGACATTGCCCGTCTGCGCCGCCTGGCGCTGCTGAACCAGCTGCCCAATGAGGACGTGACAGGTGGCACCATTTCCATCTCCAACATCGGCAGCATCGGCGGCACATACGCCACGCCCCTGGTGCATCTGCCAGAGGTGGCTATCGTGGCTCTGGGCCGCGTGCACACCGTGCCTCGCTTCGATGCCTGTGGGAACGTTGTGCCAGTGGCTCTTATGAATGTACGTGGTCGGGTGCGGTGCGGTGTGGGGTAGGGTGTGGGTGGATGGGTGGGTGTGGTGTGACAGCATCGGCGGCACGTATGCCACGCCCCTGGTGCATCTGCCAGAGGTGGCTATCGTGGCTCTTCACCCCTTCACCCCTTCGCCCCTTCACCCCTTCACCCCTTCACCCCTTCGCCCCTTCACCCCTTCACCCCTTTACCCCTTTGCCCCTTTGCCCCTTTGCCCCTTCACCCGTTTACCCCTTCGCATCTTCCACCCCACAGGTGAGCTGGTCAGCGGACCACCGGGTCATCGATGGCGCCACGCTGGCAGCCTTCTCCTCGCACTGGAAATCCTTTATAGAGTGCCCCACCAACCTGCTTCTGCATCTGATGTAGATTGTAGATGGGCACTGTACATGGCAAGTGTTGATGGTGCTGTATATAGGGTGTGCTTGTGGCTGTGTGTAAGCTTGTGCTGTGCATATAGGTACTATATACATTCTATTTTTTCCTGTACATAATTTACTTCCTTTTCTGCTCTCAACTCAAGTTGTCACAAGCAGCACAATCCCATCTGATTGGCCATCCTGGGATCCCCTCCCCCCACCCTTGACCATCCCCAGATATTACTGCAAGTGCTCGTGCATTGACTGGTTCACACGCCAAAAATTAGAGGCGACGAAAGAATAAGAGCAATCAAGCAATCAAGCGCACAAGCAGGCAATGTTATCACAGGCCACAAGTCAGGCAATCGTAACACCCAGCAAGTCAGCAGGCAAGGCATGCGAATACCGTAAAACCACAGCCAGGCAGCAGTTACTATCTCCACCCTGGCCAAAGGGAAACCAAGCCAAGCTAAGCTACCCACAGTAAGGTTGCTGCTGCCTAAACACTAACACACGCAATGCAACCTCAGCAGCATCAGGCTGCTGACACCACCTGGACCAGAGCATCACAGGCTGACCCATATGAAAGGCCCAAGTACCGGTACCAGAGTTAAGTTTTGAGGCGCCTCAAAAAGGCCCAAGTACCGGTACCGGAGTTCCAAACCAAATTGCTGTATCAGGAAGCCTTGAATTGAACGGTTGCACCTATCCTTCTCTAGCACCCACCACGATCACCACCGCATGCGCGCCCTCCTCTGACACAGGCAAGCCGCAAGCTTTAGCGACGGGCACTACTGTACCGTCTCATGTCCCTCCGCAGTCATTGTGTATTCACGGCGGTTTTGAGGTGTCCTTAAGGCACAATCTAGAGGCAGATGCAACTAGAGCGCCTCCTCCGTTATCGTGTAGGTACTTGCGGCATGATGACGAGTGTATGATACAGGGGCCGTGAAGAGTGTGTCAGAATGTTATGCTTTGTCTAGCTTGCAGTGGGGTACTCAATAGTGAGTACAACCCAATTTAGGGTTTGCTATATGTACTCAACTGCTTGCTAGTGAAACCCCCTCTTTCTCATTTCTAACTTCCTTTGGTTTCTAACATGGAATCAGAGCAGGTCGACCCTCCTGGGTCGATCCTGTGCATGGGCCCACAATTGTCTTCCGCTGCTATACTGCCTATCGCGCGCCTCGGGCGCGCACTGTCGTTCTGCCTGCCGCGCGCCCATGGCGCGCGGCCCTTTTTCTTCCCGCTGCGCGCTCGAGTCGCGCGGCGGTTTTCTGACCGTCGCGCCGCCCTGGGGGCCGCGCGACGCCCTTCTCTGCCCATCGTGCGCCCCGTGGCGCGCGGCGGTACCCTGCCCGTCGCGCGCCCCGGGGCGCACGGCGGTTTCGTCGCCCGGGGGGCTCGTGCGCGGCCCCCCCTTGTCGCCCGTCGCGGCGCCAACGGGGGCCCGCGCGGCGCGTCCCCGACCCTGTCCCGGCCCTGCCCCGGCCCCGTCGCGGCCCCGTCCCGGACCTGCCCCGGCCCCGACCCTGTCCCGGCCCTGCCCCGGCCCCGTCGCGACCCCGTCCCGGACCTGCCCCGGCCCCGACCCTATCCCGGCCCTGCCCCGGCCCCGACCCTGTCCCGGCTCTGCCTCGGCCCCGTCGCGGCCCTCCCCAACTGCCACCCCTGCTGCTGCCCTGCCCTGTGTTGGGGTTTGGGGGTGGCGAGTGTGGGGGTGACGGATGTGAGTGGTCTCCCCTACTCCTCCTCCTCCTCCGTCTCCCACTGCTGCAGCTGCCGCTGAGGGGGGTGGGTGTGTGGGAGCCTATGGAGTGGTGCTAAGGGGTGGAGTGGGAGTGAAGATAGGGGTGCAGCAGGGGGTGTGTGAAAGGGGGGTGGGATAGTTTGGGGAGGTTGAAGGGGGGTGGCCGCCGTGAAGCCCGCAGCTCCAGTCGCCCGTGAGACCGTTGCGCCAGTAGCCCGTGAGCCCGTTGCGCCAGTCGCCCGTGAGCCAGTTGCTCCAGTCGCCCGTGGGTCCGTTGCTCCTGCAGCTCAGAGTTAGTCGCGGAGCCAGTTACTCCAGTAGCCCGTGTGCCAGTTGCTCCAGTTGCCAGTGTGCCAGTTGCTCCAGTTGCCCGTGTGCCAGTTGCTCCAGTTGCGCCGTGTGCCAGCAGCTTCAGCTGCCGCCCACTATCTCCTCTCCTCTCATAGTCACTCCTCCTCCTCACTTGCCCTCTGTGATTTCCTCTAGCTTTGCTTGCATTTGTGAACTATAAACTGCTACTTCTTGTACTTGTGCTCAGAATGTGTGGTGACATTGTGATCCACCCTGAGCTTGTTTTGCTTTGCCTGTTGTGCTGATTACACCCCACTTTTGTTGGGCTGAGAAAGCCCTTTAGGATCTTTGCAGGACATGATTCAAGAGTAGGATGATGTAGTAGCGGAAGCGTTTAATAAAGGATTGTGAACCACCTTGCGCTTGTATGTGAGGGCAAAGTAAGTTAATAATAAGAAAATAGATACAAGCTTTTATATGAATACAAAGGAATATGAAGAGATACAGTTAATAACTGTTTTACTGTTGCTGTTGCGGTTCGATACAGTGTCGACTCGGGCAACTGCTCAGTATCGAGACAGTTGTTTGTCCTTGCTGTCGCGCTGCATTTGTCAGGTCAAAGGTCGCTGACCTTTGACTTTCGCGTAACCTCCAGCAGTTGTTCAACCTCCGAGGGTTGACTCACCGATGTTTCGATACGATCCGCTTCGCTTCTGTCTTGGTGTTTCGACACGACAGAGGCGCTTAAATCTGTTGTTTCCAACACTCCCCTTCGCTTCTGGAGTGTCGCTGCAGGTGACGTGGCTCTGTCCAGTCAGCAGCATGCAATATTCGAACTTCGACTTTCCGAGCTTCTTGGTCAAGTAATCAGCTGCCATCTCGGATGTGGGACAGTAAGACAGCTCAAGTCTTCCCTTCTCGATCTCGTCCTTTACGAAGAAATATCGCAGGGCGATATGTTTCGTCCTGTTCGCGAATCCATTTTTGTTGGCGATGCGAATTGCCGACTGGTTGTCGCAAAATAGGGAGAAGTTGGGTAACTGGGCCAGCTTCGCTTCCTCCAGCAGTTCGCGAAGGTACAGTCCTTCCTTGGTGGCTGAGCAGAGTGCGATGTATTCAGCTTCAGCTGAGGAGAGAGCGATTAATTCTTGTTTGCTTGACTGCCACGAAATAGGTCCGATAGGCTCGAGGCGGTAGATGTAGCCTGTGCGCGAGCGCCTGTTGTCAGAATCTCCAGCGTGGTCGGCGTCGACGTAGCCGATTAGCTTGGGCGTTGTAGTTATGTTCTTGTAGTAGATCAGGCCAATCGTCGGAGTGCATACGAGGTAGTGTAGAGCGCGATCGAGTTCCTTCATGTGTTGGTCTTCAGGCCTTTTGAGGTAGGTGGCGAGTTGACTTGCTGAGTATGATAGGTCTGGACGGCAGGTGACGGCCGCGAAGAGAAGGCATCCTAGCTTTCTCTGGTAGTTGCGTATGTCGGCGGGTTTCAGTGGAGCAGATTCTGCCTTGTCATTTCCTGCCGTGTAGCGGTATGGCGTGGAGATGGTAGTTGGCGTGAGTGCGAACCGTTTGGCGATGGTGTCGGCATATTTTGCGGCGTTGAGATAGATCGCGCCTTCTCCTTCTTGGATGTTGAGGCCGAGGTATTGCGTGACGGTAGATGAAACCGTGAGCGTAAGATCTCTCTGTAACTCCCCTTCGAACCAGGTAATGACACTGTCGGTTGACCCGATGTAAAGCAGATCGTCTACGTAGACGATTAGTAAAATGTAGTCATCGCCTTTCGTGAGCCGGTACATTCCTTGGTCGTGCGGTAGCTGCCAGAATCCGATGCGAGTGAGTCGAGCGTGTAAGTACTGCTGCCACAGTCTCGGGGCCTGTTTGATCACGTACAAGGACTTCAGTAACTGGCAGACTTGGTTAGGTTCTCCATGGGAACCGTGTGGAAGTTCGACGAAGATTTCTGCGTCGACAGGTGCGTAGAGAAAAGCATTGGCAACGTCGATTTGCCGCAGCATCTTTTCCTTCATAGCGGCGACCGCGAGAAGAATCCGTAGTGAGGTGTGTCGACTAACCGGTGCGAATGTCTCGGTGAAATCGCGTCCGTGCTCTTGGTCGAAGCCACGTACGACCCAGCGTGCTTTAAACTTGTCGATGGTGCCGTCTGCCTTTGTCTTCACACGGAAGACCCACTTCCCGGTGAGTATTATCTTGTTTCGTGCTACGCCGATAGGAACAACTTTCCAGGTGTTGCGCTCCTGTAGTGCTTTCAGTTCTTTGTCCATGGCTTCACGCCATTTTTCCCTATGCTCCCCCCCCAGAGCCTGCTGAACTGTGGCAGGCTCCTTAGGAGTATCGGTGCCGTGGACCGCGGTGACGAGACCAAGTATCTGAAGACCACTCTGTGTGTAGCGGGGGAGTGTTGTGTCCTCGGGATAAGCTGCTTCGTCACCTGCTTCTGGGTCAGGTATGAAATTGGGCCCTACGCGTTCTGCTTCGTTGGTGTTGACTTCTGCAGGTGTAACGTAACCAGTGTCGGCGAGGTCGAAATATGTTTCGGCGTTGACGCTTTCGCGAGGATTTTCGTCATCCATCGGGATAGGCACGGAGCAGTAAGGGAGTGGTCCTGCTTCATCCGAGGCGTTATCCACGTTCTGCTCGTCCCAGTCAGCTTCGTCTGCTGCCGAGGCGAAGTGTCGATCTCCATGGAAGCCACCTGTGGGATCCCGATTTTCTTCCAGGTTGGCAAGGTATGTCGGAAGGGTGAGTCGTTCGTAGAAAATGACGTCAGGTGCTGCTACTGTTTCTTTGGAGTGGACGTCGAAAATCTTCCACGCGTTGTAATTTCTTTCGATGCCCAGGTGTAGTCCCCACTGTGCTCGTTGGGAAAACCGGCCGGCTCGTGCAGATGGGGGTCGGTACTGTACCATGCAGCCGAAAACTCTTAACATTTTTGTGCTGCCCTGTTTTCCTGTCCACAGCAGATGCGGTGATGCGTTGTTCGGTAGTGACGACGACGAAAGCAAGTTGTGCAGCATGACAGCGTGGTCCATCGCTTCAGGCCACTGGTGATTGGGCAGTCGCATGCCACGCAGTAATTTGCGCATGGTGTTCTGGAGAGTGCGATTCATCCGTTCCGCCACGCCTTGCTGTTGATGGGCGTAAGGAAGCGAGATGAGCCTCTTGATCCCCTTTTCTGCCAAGAACTGCTTGAACGTCTGTGAGGTGTATTCTCCTCCTCCGTCTGACTGAAAGCTTTTCAGTTTCTCGCCTGATTCTCGTTCTGCTACTGGAAGCCAAGCGATGAAGGCTTCGAAGGCCATGTCCTTGCTCGGAAGATTGAGGTGCCAAACGTAACGTGTAGCTGCATCGATGAACGTGATGGTGTAACTGTATGCTCCTTGTCCGGGTTCGCGATTGTACAGGATGTCGCTGTACACCTTTTCAAGTGGTGCGTAAGCTGGTGCGCTGGGGTTGTGGTGAGAAGTGAAAGGTCGATGCGGTAAGTCAGCTTCGGGGCAGGTAAAACACGTTCCTCGCGCTCGTCGAAGTTCACTTCCGTCGGTTAGAAGCAGTGAATCTTTGTCGAGAACGCCTGCTCTTATTGTGTTGTTTAACACTGTATTGCTTGGATGTCCCATTCGTGCGTGCCAGATGTCTTCGCTAGCGCGATGTCCGGGTGAACGACGATACAGGTAGGAGTTGGAGTAGAAGGCGGCGGTGAAGTTGGCGCTTCTGTGAACTTCGCGAGGAGTGGGAGTTAGCTGCTGCGCAGGAGTCGGTGAAGTATTGTCGATGTGTGGCGATGTTGAAGAACTTGCGACTGGTGTTGTAAGTGTTGTTGGTATTTCCGATGGTTCTGCTGCTGCCGATGTTGTTTCTGCTGCTGCTGATGTTGTTTCTGCTGCTGTCGAGTGTTGAATCGTTGCTAATGCTCTTGTTCGTTCTGCTTCAGGGATGGTGTGCGAGTACCAGAAGCCTTCTGGACTGAAGTCGGGGTCAAGATCCGGTGGATGTGTCCAAGAGGTGAAGGTGACAATCCCGTCGCTGTCGGCAGTGCCGAGATCTGGAACAAAGTCGAGGACGAAGACATTGTTTTTTAGGACCGCTTTGCCGATGTAGAGTCCTCCTCGACCGTGGAAGAGCTTGAACTCCTGTGTGGTGCTGTCTGCCTCGAGGTGTATGCCCTTCGCCATCAGCTGACTGACGCTCAGTAGGTTGTAACCGAGTCCTTCTGCTATCAAAACCTTTGACATCTGCAGTATGACGTTTGTTTCTCGTGACTGAAGTTGCACTACGCCTTGTCGTCGTGTGCGCAGGTTCTGATTGTTGGCGACGGTGATGACGACTTCACGTTGAAGTTGGTGTTCACATTGAACAAAGCGTCCTGAGGAGCACATATGTTGTCCACAGCAGCTGTCCAAGAACCACGTATCCTTCCCGGATGGCTCGCTTTGTGCGATGGCTGCGTATTTTGGATTTGGTTGAAGTGACTCGTGGCGAGGTGTGTTGTTGTCGAGTTGTTCTTCCGGTGAGTAATGTGGTGGAGACTCTGTGATGCAGGAGTCGGTCAGTCGTGTCATGCAACTGACAATGTTTCTTGTTCCTTGCGCAGGTTGTCCCGTCGATGTCGTTGAGGCTTGTATTTGAGAAGTCGAACTCGCTTGAGTTGAGGCAACTTGACTGCTTGAAGGCCGAAGTTGTCGCTGCGTTGGTACTGACTGTTGTCGGTTAGGGCAGTGTGAGCGAGGATGCCCTGACATCTTGCAAAGGTGACAGAACGGAGGTACTGATTTCTGTTGATGCCGATTGTTGTTGTTGTAGCGTCGTTGAGTGTGGAATGCAAATTCGGGCACTGATGCCTTCTTCTTGTGTCGTTCCTCTTGCAGGTCCATGTCTTGCTGCTCAGCATGGATTTCGGCGCAGAGTGCTGCTTCTGATATCTTTCCATGTGCTCGGAGTATGGCGCGGGTAGAGCGCCACTGAGGACCGAGGCCACCGATGATGACTGTGACGAAGGCGTCTTCTGAAATCGACCCTCCGCATCGAAGGAGTTTGTCGCGCAATTCGCGACAACGGCTGATATACGCCATCCCCTTTTCGCCTGGTTTCATTTCGACTGTCGTCAGTTGCGCCATTAACCGACTTTGATTTAAGCTGTCTGTTGCTTGATACAGGTTCTTCAAGTGGTTGTACGCGAGCTCTGCAGAGTTGCCGTAACCCCGGTAAGACCGTATGTTCTGTTGCTGACTTGGAGTGATGTTTCTCAGCAGTATTGTGTACGCCATCATTGATTGATAAGTGTACTGCTGCTTATCGTACTGTGTGCCGTGTGTTGGATATGGCAGGGACCCGTCGAAGAAGCCAAGAATCTGCGCGCCTTCCATCATTAACTCGAACTCGAATGACCAGGTAAAGAAATCCTTTCCGTCGAAAGGCCTTGTCGTTTGCAGTTTTAAGACGTGCGCGAACTGCGACTGAACTTGAAGTGCGTCCAATGTCTTTTCTTGTCCGGATGCAGGCTGCGGGTGTGGCATAAAGCTGACGGAGCCACGCTGGGGCTCATACGGAGCAAAGGTAGGCCGTTGCTGTTGATTTCCACGTGCGTAGGATGAACCGTCGAGGCTCATCGGTGTTGCGTTGTTGTTGCTGTTGTTTGACCGTGCAGGTGCCCCTTGCTGGTGTTGTTCGTAGAAGGACATGAAGGAGAAGAACTTCTCCATCATGTCTGGATCGAAGGCCGCAGCTTGATTTGCGGGAGTTTCCGAAGACGATGCCCTTGGTCTTGTTGCCGTACCCTCCTCTGTCTGTAGGCCAGAGGCAGGAGGTGGAGTAGGAGTAGTGCTAGGAGAGCCGTTAGAGGAACTTCTCTCCTTTTGCGTTGCCATGTCTTGCGATGTTGTAGATATCTTGTTTGTAGTCGAATTTGCCCTGACTGCTCTCATACCATGTTGGGCTGAGAAAGCCCTTTAGGATCTTTGCAGGACAGGACTCAAGAGTAGGATGATGTAGTAGCGGAAGCGTTTAATAAAGGATTGTGAACCACCTTGCGCTTGTATGTGAGGGCAAAGTAAGTTAATAATAAGAAAAGAGATACAAGCTTTTATATGAATACAAAGGAATATGAAGAGATACAGTTAATAACTGTTTTACTGTTGCTGTTGCGGTTCGATACACTGTTGACTCGAGACAGTTGTTTGTCCTTGCTGTCGCGCTGCATTTGTCAGGTCAAAAGTCGCTGACCTTTGACTTTCGCGTAACCTCCAGCAGTTGTTCAACCTCCGAGGGTTGACTCACCGATGTTTCGATACGATCCGCTTCGCTTCTGTCTTGGTGTTTCGACACGACAGAGGCGCTTAAATCTGTTGTTTCCAACAACTTTGGCTATGGGGGTGAGTACAGCCCAATTTAGGGTTTGCTATATGTACTCAACTGCTTGCTAGTGAAACCCCCTTTTTCTCATTTCTAACTTCCTTTGGTTTCTAACAGAGTGGACTCTTTTCGTTTTGAGACGTCTCAAAACTAGTGGACTCTTTTCTTCGGTGGCAAACCGATCCTTTGCTTCGGTTTCTTCCTGAACCTCCAGATGATGAGCAATCACTCAAAGCAGCACTGCTCGCCTCCTCTGCCACCCCTCCCCCCTTAGCGTTGCTCTCATGGTTAAATGCTTGCCATCGCAACACCGGACTGAAGCGTTGATTGCGCCGCCTCTGGCTGTAGGGTTTTCCAGCGCTCTTCATCTCTCATCTGACATATGGCTCACATCACCAGGAGGTGCCATAGTAATCGACAACCAGCCACCAACCACCATGCCTACTGCTGCTGCTGCTGCTGCTGCTGCTGCTGCTGCTGCTGCTGCCACTGCCGCTGCTGCTGCTGCTGCTGCCACTGCCGCTGCTGTTGCTGCTGCCACTATGTGTCGCCATTGCCGCCGTTGCCAGTGCTGCCAGCAATACCACTGCCAGTGTGACTACCGGTGCTGTCACCTAGTCTGCCTGTGGCAAGTGAACGAGCAGCAAGGCTCATGGAAGGGGGCTTCTGCCCCTGCTTGGGGTTCAGACACAAAGGGCCGCCTGATGCACTACTCACACTGCTGCTGCTGCTGCTGCTGCTGCTGCTGCTGCTGCTGCTGCTGCTGCTGCTGCTGTTGCTGGTGGTGGTCGTGGTGGTGGTAGTGGTGGTGGTGGTAATGTTGCTGCTGCTGCCTGAGGAGGCAGAGGGAGATGCGCTTTCCACGGACCAGAGAAAGGATGCATATGCTGCCAACACATAGCTGAGGTGGAGAGGGGCCGGGAGAGAGGACGGGGGAAGTGGAGGGGAAGGGAGGGGATGAATCGACTCAACAATCTATCTCCCACACACACCAGTCATGAGGGTTCACTTCCGGAGCATGGACAGACGCCTAAAAAACTATTCAAAGGCACGCACCAGTCATGAGGCGCAACTTCCACGGCATGGTCAAAGAGAGCCAGAGCCCGCTCTCCGTAAGATGAGACAAATGTTTGAGTAAACTGACTATCATCTCCTGCCCTGCCCTGGACATACCAGTCATGAGGCGCCACTTCCACTGCATGGTCAAAGAGAGCCAGGGCCCGCTCGCCATCGCGCCACCCCTCCCACACCGCCTTAGCCCACAGCACCAGCACCTCCCCCTCCTCCACCCCTGTCACCCCCTTCACTCCTGTGGCTCCTTTCACTCCTTTTAACCCCTTCAGCCCCCCATTGTTTGTGGGGCTGCTAGGGATCTGATCCATTCGTGCTGCCCGTCCTTTCATGCGCGCCCGTCCCTCTGCTTGGCTGGCTGCAACTGCCCGCCGGAACATTTCGTCTGCCCGATGATAGTCCTTGATCTGGAAGTTTAAGGGTGGGAGGAGGGAAGATGAGGGGAGCAGGGAAGATGAAAGGTCGAGGGAAAACGAGGAGCGAGAATGAGGGGAGTACGGAAGATGGCGAGGCGAGGGGGGGCGTGGAGCATCAGCAGCGCAACCAGAACACACGTACAAACCGTAAACCAGAAGAAAAATAACAGCCGGCCGCTATCCATACAAACAAATAAGCACACATATGCACACGCAGGCACACACACCATGCTCATAAGTGAGAGCACATAACCATTAACAGAGCCACAGGTACTGAACAAACGCCAGGGCACACCTCACAAGGGAAGAGCGAAAGAAAGAAAGAAATGTACCATACAAACGGCAGGGCAGCACAGCGCACCTCACAGAGGAAGCGGGCATAGTCGCAGAGCAGCAGAGCATTGGTGGGATCACTGCGCACAGCACGCAAGTACTGCTCGTCCTCCTCCTCCACACTCGCCGCTGCTCTCCCCCCCACTGCCGGCCCCTCCACTGTCATCCCCTCCACACTCATCCCGCCGTGCACCACTGCTCCCTCCCCCTCTCCCCTTCCTTCTTCCCCTCCCCTTCCCTCTTTCCTTCTCCTTTCCCTCTCGCTCTCTCCTCGTCTCCTCTCACTGTTCAGGCGCACACCAGCGCGGGGAGCTCTAGAACCAGATTCTCCACTGTGCCTTCTTTCCCTCTCCTCCCTCTCCTCCTTCTCCTCCCTCTCGTCGCTTTCGTTCCTCGCTTCGCTCTCCTCCATCGTGCTACTCCCTTCCGTAGCTTCCCCACCATCTCTCCCTTCCGCCATCTTGCCTCCATTCTTAATCCCACCGTATTCCCAAGCAGACCTTGCCCCACGCTCATCCTCCCTTCTTTCGAACTCCATAATCGCCTCCTTACCCCTTTCCACCGCTGCCAATCCATTTTCACCCTTCCCAACCGGCCTCCTCTCCCTTTCCCCCTCACCTCCCCGTCCCACACCCCCCCCATCCTCAGCCTCTCCCCCCACCACCCCCCCTTCTCCCCATACACTTTCCCCAACATCTACCCCCAATATCTCCCCCACTCCGCCCATGCCCAACCCACCGTCTCCGCTCTCCATTTCCCCCACGCCCCCTCCTTCCGCGAGCCTGCCCGCGCCGTTGGGCAGCTGCGAAAGGCTCTGGGGCAGCCCGTGCCGGTCCACAAAACTTTCGTCTACCCGCACGGGGCGGCATCCCCGGGCGTTACAGACGACAGACATGCCGTTCGCGCCCACATCAACGCTCGTGAATCCCTCTCCGTCCTCTGCTTGAAACAGGTACTGCCCTGGCCCCTTGCCCTTCACCACTCGCCCCGCACACACGGAACCCACGCCTGCTGCACCGCCCGATATGCCATCCTCAGTCATACCTTCCCCAACCAAACCTCCCCCAGCCATACCTCCTCCTGCCATACGTCCTCCTGCCATACCTCCCCCTGCTGCTGCTGCTGCCGCCGTCGCTGCTGCTTCAAGAGGCGTGCTGGGATTATCCATTGCTGCTGCTGCTGCTGCTGCCTTGGATGTGCCGCCCGCTTCACCTGCTGTCCCGCCTGCTGTCAGCTGTGCTGCTGCCTGCCACACACCACGACCCCTCTCACTGCTTCTGCCCCTTACAGCCTCTTCCCCCTCCTCCTCTCCCTCCCCACCCCCCTCCGCCTCTTCCTGCTGCTGCTGCCGCTGCTGCACGCCCTGCATTCGGCCATCATTCTGCGCACCGCCCTGAGAAGTTCCTTGGGAATCTCCTATCGTATCATGCTTCCCTTCGCTCGAGTGCGGGGCTTTTGTCTCTACGCCATTCCCTTCCGCTCCTCCCTCACCTCCGCCCTCCGCCTCCCTATCTGCGCCGTCTCTCCCCCCACCAATCTCCGCCATCCCTCCCATCCGCGCCCCTCGGTTCGCCCTACCCGCAAAACCATTCCCCGCAGCAATTCCTGCGGCAATCCCCGCGGCAATCCCCCCCTCAGCAAAATCAACCGACTCAGAAGCAGCAGCAGAACCACCAGCAGCAGCAGCACGGGTAAGACCAGCACCCTCTGCGTGTGCCCGTGCCAACCCTCCGCCTCTGCTGCTCGCCACAGCGCCTGTCACCGGCCTTCCTCCTTCCCTCGCCGTGCGCGCACCCTCCCAGTGCCTCTCCTGCGCTCTCCCTCCTTCCCTCTCCCCACCAATCGCCCTCCCTTCACCCGTCACTCTCTTCCCCTTGCCTCTCCTCCTCCGTCTTTTCCCAACTACCACCGGCTCGTTCGGGGAAGCTTCTCGCTCCGCGGCTACCGCCGCAGCTCCCGCCGCAATTCCCGGCGGAATGCTCGCGCGCTGAATAGGGCACACGCGCGTGCGGCGTACGACAGCATAGTTGGGTCCCTGCAGATCGAGCCCCTCCACGCGCCACGGGTCGTGCATCACGTCCAATACCGAGCCTAACGCGTCGCTCGAAACGCCGAGCGCCTCGCCCGAAACGTCAACTGAAACGGCGTCGACCGAAACGTCGTCTAGCTGCTGCTGACAAGCACGATCCGGTTCGTGGGAAACCGGTATCGCGCTCGCAGTCTCGCACGACATAGTGTCGTCGAGATGCACGAGAGTTTGTGCCGTCACGACGAAATCCGTGTCAAATACCGACATGGACAGGGGCATGGGCGCGTTTATCTCGATTGCCTCATCGGGGGCATCACTATGACCAACATCATCGCCATTACCATTACTATTACCATCACCGTCCCCGTTACCATGAACATGAATATCGTCGTCTTCTGTTGCAGCGCCGAGACTGGCGCCGGTTTCCGTTCGCCGCGGCTTGCTCGCCGCGTTTTGTGGGCGCCTATGGCTACGGGAGACCGTTTCAACGCCACTAAAGCTCCCACTCGTTGCGGCACCAGCGGCAGCGGCGGCGCCACTTGCGCTAGCGGCGCCGCCGCTGGCGGCGGCAGGGGCGTAGCTGTCACTGCTGGAACACTTGCTGCTGCTGCTGCTGCTGCTGCTGCTCTCCGCCCTCCTCGCATCACTATCGCCATGGCCGCTCGTCACGGCGGCGCCAGAGCTGCTGCCTCCCTTGCCGCTTCGTCGCTTATGACACGACGACCGCGAGAATGCCGACCCGCCGCCGCCGCTCGCAAGACCGCAGCCTTTTCTCCTCCCAGGCTTCCTGTCGTAACCACCCGCAGCCACATACCCGCCGCCACCGCCGCCGCCACCGATCGGTGGCGAACGCGTCGACCCTCCCCCGCCAGCATTGGTATGTAACGAAGACGCTGACAACGGCACCACGGCGGTTGTTTTCACGTTGCGGAAAGCAGCAGCTGATCGGTCGTTTGGGCCGTTGCGCCGACCGTCTTGACGGCCGGTCGGCCGTTTCCCGGCTTTTCCGGAAGGCGAGGACGAGGGGAGCGAAGCGCGTGAAGCGGAAAGCGACGCGGGCGACGCGGACAGCGACGACGCGGAGACTGCGGGCAGAACAGGTGCGATGTCCGGACGACTCGTCTCGAAGCGTCTGCGAAACGGCTTCAGATGCCGCGAGTCGCGGATTTCTTCCCGAAAACTGGCTTCGGGGGTGAAATGGAGCGAGAGAGGGCGCGCCACGGGTGCAGCCATGGACGCTGGGGGGGGGGGGGGGGACGGGTGTCGGATAATTAGCGCCAACGCAAGCCAACGCGGGTGTCGTTCCCCGCTCGTCCCTCCTCTCGCAACTCCCTCTCTTCCAACTGCTCCTTGGTATCCGGGAACCGTTAGCTTCTATCTGCTATGTCTGCTTCAGCGACTCGCTTCGTTCTTTGTTTTCCTTCTGGCCGAATGACTTCAAGGCCCAATGCTTGAGCTATGTCTGCTGCAACGCCGAATCGCTTCAAGGTGGCTCAACAACGAGCCTAAGGCCGCCAGGGTGCGGAGTAATAGCCGCAATTCACGACAGGCTCATACACATGAACGGTCTGCGGTTTGAAGGGAATACCAAGAAAAGGAAAAGGAACTGTCGCTGAAGGGCTTGGAATGCCGTTGGTCCCCTCCGTTGTTGGTCCCCTCCGTTCAGTGGTAGGGACTAATGCGAAGGCATCCTAGGCTAACTTAGGGAGCTATGAGAGCAGGTTAGGAGGGAGTGGGTAGACCTATCCACTAGAGTAGGAGAGGAGGAACTGTTGGTTCTTGAGGTTCTGTTGCGAATGAAGGGGGACGAAATTCCAGCAAGAGTGTAAAAACGGAAGTAGGAAGAGCAGAGAGGCTGGTGCTGCTGGCAGGGACAACTACGAGACGATGAGCACCACACCGATGCGTAAAAGCGGAACTGGAAGACAGAGCAGAAAAACACTAGCCTCTTTTCGAGTTGTTTGTAGCTCTCCTCACTTTCCTAGGGTTTCAATCGAGGGCAAGGCTTGTGCTGTACCCATCCACACCTCACACCCTAGCACTGGAATTTGCGCTTTCCTTGGAATTTGCAGGGTATTCGTTCGGTAGTGGAAACTGTAGGCTGCTACAATAGACATTTTGAACGCTCTCTTGAATACTGCGAATCCGTCACAAAATACGGCAGGTCAATCCGTCACGATCCCATCCCAACAAAGCTTAAACTAGTCGACAGGTGACTCAGCAGAGGGATGTCGTCAGTCTTTCCCTCCAAAACTCGTCTCGTCAAGGTGCCCTGGAAAATCAGGAAAAATCGCGAAGGTTCTAGACCACATAAACAGATTTCGACAGGCGAATAGAGGAAACTACCTACGCGAATCTCTGCGAATAACGTCGCGATCAAAGCGGCTCTCCCGCAGATGTGCCCACCTGCTTGGAGCAAAAATATCCATGATACACCACAAGCTCAAGCGCCTTCAGGCCAAAGCTGGCGACGATGACCACACAAACCACAACTAGAGAACTCTGTAACATGAAACTACATGAACTAAACTCTTACAATAGAGAGCCTTCACACACACTGGCACTTCAAGGGAAACATGTCTTATGGACTTATCAGCTTAACAATGTACGGTACAAGAAACAGAAGTGATGGTATAACCTTGGGAAACAGGTAAGTGAGACACTAATTTATAGTTCAAGGAGGCGACATGCCGCCCGCACCAGCAGCTCGGACGAAACTTTCTAAGATTGGCCCAACCTGTGAACGCAAGCAACAAGAGGAGAACAAGGGAACACACACCAAGGCGCGAGCAGAAAAAAACAAAAAAAACATAAACGGGGTGAGGGAACGAGGAAGAATGTTGGGGGGGGGGGGACGATAGGGAAGTAAAAATAGACCAAACGGAGGGAAAACCTTATTGGGAGCTCTCGGTACCTCTGCATCGTTGAGAAATGTGTAAATGGCATGTGGGTTGTCCTGCATGTCACTAATTGCTGCTCCACAACGCACACACATGGAGGGGGGGATGGAATGGAACGGGAGCAACAGGGGAAGAGACCGCGGAGGACGGAAACCAGTCAAGAACAAATTCATTATGAAAACCTACACAGTATTGATGTGCAAAATGCCTAAAGCAACAGCCAGACCCCTCTCAGCCCCCTCTTTCCCCCCCATCTCTCTTTCTCCCCCTGCTACCCCCTTTCCTCCCTCCCCCAGTTGGCATGAACCCTGTCAAACATGAACTCACCCTGCCGAACCCGCGGGTTAGTCAGCCCGTGCCGAAGCATCTCATTTGCCATGGCCCACAAAGCAGCGCCCTCAACATCCATCGCCTCCTCCTCCCCTCCCTCCCCACCCTCCACGTCACCCCCAAAGGGGTCCCTTGCTTCGTGCAGAGGCAGGGAGGTAGAGGAGGATGCGCCCATGATAGTCTGGAGAGCCATCATTCGGTTCCATGCACGCACTGACCGCTCATCCTGAGGCCACCACAGAGGGTCGATGATGTCGGGGAAAATACAGCGTGGAGGGGGAGGGAGGAGAAGGGAAGACTACAGATGAGAACGGAGGCGACTTGGGCTCAACGGAGTGAGAGGACAGGGGGGTTGGCAGCGGGGAAAGCGGGCGGCGGTTTTCTTTGAAAGCCAGGCCGCTTAATGATAATCCATGGTATGGTACAGCTGGAGTGTAGATGTGTGATGAGTGTAGCTGTTACTCACATGCATGCCTGTTACTCACATGCATGCCTGTTACTCACATGCATGCCTGTTACTCACATGCATGCCTGTTACTCATATGCATGCCTGTTACTCACATGCATGCCTGTTACTCACATGCATGCCTGTTACTCATATGCATGCCTGTTACTCACATGCATGCCTGTTACTCACATGCATGCCTGTTACTCACATGCGTGCCTGCCACTCACATGCATGCCTGTTACTCACATGCATGCCTGCCACTCACATGCATGCCTGCCACTCACATGCATGCCTGCCACTCACATGCATGCCTGCCACTCACATGCATGCCTGCCACTCACATGCATGCCTGCCACTCACATGCATGCCTGCCACTCACATGCATGCCTGCCACTCACATGCATGCCTGCCACTCACACGCATGCCTGCCACTCACATGCATGCCTGCCACTCACACGCATGCCTGTCACTCACATGCATGCCTGCCACTCACACGCATGCCTGCCACTCACATGCATGCCTGCCACTCAAATGCATGCCTGCCACTCACATGCATGCCTGCCACTCACATGCATGCCTGCCACTCAAATGCATGCCTGCCACTCACATGCATGCCTGCCACTCACATGCATGCCTGCCACTCACATGCATGCCTGCCACTCACATGCATGCCTGCAATCTGCGCCCACGCCTCTCTCAACTCCGCAGGCAGGTCCCCCTGTAACGGCGCCTGAGTGCCCCCTAACGCAGACGCCGGCGCCTCCCCTGTCCCTGCACGCACCCCCCCTTGCACTGCTGCTGCTTCTGCTGCTGCTGCTGCTGCTGCCACAGCCATGGGTACATCCCCTCCTGCTGCTTCCCCTGCCGCCGCTGCTCCTGCTCCTGCTGCTCCTGCTGGTGCTGCTACTCCTGCTTCGCCACTCACCCCTGAGCCCATCATCCCTCCACTTGCTGCCACTGCTGCAGAGGAAGAAGGTGGATCCATTTCGGCTGCCTCTCCTGATCCGACTGCAAGCAAGGCTTCGCTATCCCCGGATGCTACCCCAGCACCCTCACCACCAGCACCAGCAGCACCACCAGTAGCACCACCAGCAGCACCACCAGCAGCGCCACTGTCAGCAGCACCAGTAGCGCCAGCGTCAGCTCCTGCACCACCAGCACTTACAGAAACCCCTGTGCCATCCCCACTGACAAGACCTCCTGCTGCCGCCCTTCTTCCTCCTTCATCCCCTCCTCCTCCCGCCCCTTCTCCAGCCGCCCCTGCTTCTCCTGCTGCCCTTGCTGCCCCTGCTTCTCCTGCTCCCCCACCCCCTTCCCCACCCCGTCCCCCCATCCCAGCAGGTGCAGCAGGTGCATCAGCAGCAGCGGCGGATTCTGCCTGCAGCGCCTGCTCCTCCGCGTCTGGGTTCTCTATCAGCCACTCTATTGCTGCTGCCACTCGGTTGCTGCTCGCGGCACCGGTATGGCAGCAGGCAGTGGCGCGGGCAGAGTGGGGAGGAAGGGAAGAGACGATGGAGAGGAGGATTGGGAACATTATGTGGGCGGGATCAGGCATGGCATGCGTGAGGCGATGTTGGAGTATGGAGAGAGGCAGGGTGGGGGGAGCGAACGAAGGGTACGTGAGCAGAAGGATCATACATGCAAAGCAGTACAATGAACCCGATTGGGGATGATGGCAACGACTAAACCAGGTAGGCACCCGGGCTGACGCATGCATGGGTTGTGCGTGGTGCAAGCAAAGGCGGGCGGGTGGGCGGGTGGGCGGATGAGCAGGAGGGAGCGAGGGAGCAGCACTGACCGGTGCAGGTGCAGGGCATGGCGGGCCATGAGGCGTGAGAATCCCATCTCTGCCAGGCGATCCACCAGCACCGGATCTGCCACCACCCGCACCCGCTGCTGCTTGGGCCGATAAGGGAGGCCCGGGTCGGGGGGGGTGTTAGGGGGAGGGGGAGGGGAGGATGGGCTTGATTTTGAGGCGCTTCAAGAACAGACACCAGCAAGGGTCTGCCACCACCCTCACCCGCTGCAGCTGGGGGCGATGGGGGAGGCAGGGATGGGAAGGGGGGAAGTGTTGTTCGGGGGGGGGAGGGGACAAATGGGCTTGTTTTATTAGGCGCCTCAAGAACAGAGACCAGCACCGGATCTGCCACCATGAGAACCCGCTGCTGCTGGGCCGGGGAGCGTGGACACGGAGGGGCGAGATGGAGGGGCGAGATGGAAAAGGGGGGAGTTGGAGGCCAGAAAGGGGTGCCAAATGGGGTTTTAGCAGGAGGGCTGTTTGACAGAAAACGCGCGAGAGGGGTTACAGAACAAGAGAGAAAGCGAAGCGGGGAGTGTGTGAGAGAGAGGGAGAGGTAGACATGCAGGCAAGGCAGGGTGGATCCAGGGGATGGATAGATAGATGGAGGGGTGGATGGAAATTGGGTTTGCTATTTTGATGCTTACAGCAGCAGCTATAGCAGCAGCGGCGGCGGCGGCTGTGGTGGTATGCAATCCAAGCCCGGTGGAGGCAGCAGGAGGAGGAGGTAGAGGGACGCCTCTCCTCACACACTCTGCTTCAATGGCCCGGTCTATGCTCTCCCTCGTTGGAATCGCATCTGCTGCTGCTGCTGCTGTCTTTGCGGATGAATCAGGAGCTGCCAGCTGGCACGGTGTCGGGGCCCGGATGCGGGTGATAACAAGAGTGTCTGCATACCGCGGGGAGGGAGGGGGAAAGGGGGGGGGAAGGGGGGTGAAGGGAGGGGGAAGGGGGGCGAAGGGAGGGGGAAGGGGGGGGAAGGGAGGGGGAAGGGGGGGGGAGGGGGAAGGGGGGGAAAGGGAGGGGGAAGGGGGGGAAAGGGAGGGGGAAGGGGGGGAAAGGGAGGGGGAAGGGGGGGAAAGGGAGGGGGAAGGGGGGCGGAGGGAGGGAAGGGGGGAGAAGACGAATGGCGCACGAGGGAGGAGAAAGGGAGGGGGATGGCTTGATTCGAGTGTAACGGTTCGGAAGGTAAATGTGGGACTGAAGGACGAGAAGCAGGCAAAGCATGTGATATTGAAAATTCTCCCATGCACACATCAGCACACCACGATGGTCCCACCACCTAAAACGGTTTTTTTTTTCAGTGAGAGCTTTGCCATTGCGGTTTGTGTTTTTCGGTTGTGTCCTGAAACGAGTCATCACTATGACGTTCCGGGCTTGATTTGATTGACCTCTCGCCCCTACACGCCCAAACGCCAACCCCAGCACTGCAACCCCTTTCCCCGCTCACCTACCCTGCAATCTGTATCACATCACAGTCAATGTTTTTTAACCGCCATTCTCGCCATGCGCATACTCACCGCCACTATCCACACCGCACTCTCCAACTGTTAGAAGCTTCGAGGAAAGGACCTTTGGCCGACTTCCCTCAACCCCCCCCAGGTAACCACTAGCTTCCGCCACCTCCTTCCCGCTCGTCCGCCTCTCTTCCGCCGATGCCCCCGCGGCTTCCCCCGAACGGCCAGCCGCCGGGGGAGCCGCGGAGAAAGGGACGTGGATAAGGCGCACGTCCCGCGCGGGAAGGTTGGGGGGGATGAGCCCGCGGGTTTGCAGCTCAGCGCGCAGCTTGTGGATGGTGATGCCACGTGGCACGCGCACGGGCTGCACCGCGCCGTTCAGCAAGCGCACGCGCAAATCCATGGTCGATGCCGCCTGCGCCTGCGCTTGCGGTTGCGATTGCGGCTGCGCTTGCACTTGCGCAGTTAGCTGATCGGCGGAGATCTGTTGCGGCGGTGTAGGAGAGGCGGAGGAAGCGGGGAGGTGGGCGTGCGAATGCGGAAAATTCTCCGCATGGTTCGTCATGGCGGGATCGAAGGCAACGAGCGAGGATGCGTGTGGAGCGCGTATCAGACGATGCGACTAAATTTCGCACGAGGCATGCTCCTAATGGTTTGTGTCACAGTTCCGTCTCGTGAGGCGGTGAGATCTAGGAAAGGAGGGGCTAAAACCAGTTTTCCATTGTCCAGGGTTATTTAGGTTCTAAAAAGGAATGGCTCGAATAGCGTGCGAGGCAAAGACGGGAGAGACGAACGACCGATTAACTGGCGGCGGGGACGCGTCGGCTTGTTGGTAAGGGATCATCCGAGCGATGGAAGAGGAGGAGCTATGACCCGTTATGTGCCAAGATGAGAAATCCTGCAAGAATGAGCGATGGAAGACGGGCTACGCAATTGGTCCAATACTACCAGGTATGTTGACACGGGACATGCTGCGGTGAACGCGAACGCGATGCTTGCGGTACTACAATAGATGGTGCTGACACAAGAACGGCGATGCGTAATGACGACTAGATACATCACGGGTAGGTGCTTTGTTCATGGTGCTAGGCTCGCTAATCGCCAGCGCCATGCACTGCGATGCGACGCGACCTGCCAGTGGGTCAGTCAAGCCCGTTTTTGAGGGATTGTCCTATGGGCCAGCAGACAACCCGTGGGATTTCATGAACACGTACGCGTTAGAGAAATTGCGTTATGAGAGTGGTTGTGATAACGGTTTCGCTGTAGAGAAGTCTCACTGAGTCCACACAAGAAAACTCATCCCTTCGCATACAAATCATTGCCACGCCCGCCCTCCCCAGTACAGTCACAAACTACTCGTGGCGAACTCACGAAGGCTAGCGAACCTTTGCGCGTTTCGTTCGTGTCTGTCACCCGAAAAGTAGTGTTGCAGGGTCGGACTCCGGCATCACATTTTCTGTAGAGCAGAGCATACGAAAACTGAATAAACTACATATATTCAAGGTCTTCTCTCCCAGCAAAGTCGGTTGAACTGCACAGTTGTAAGGAAACTTCCTTTTCCTTACTTCGCGTCCCTGCTCAGCGCACCATTGTTTCCCGCCAACAGCACCCAACAGTAATCCGTTACCACTCGCGACACTCGCCTCGACACTGTTCCCGCCACTGCTCACGGCTTCCCCGCGCCGTCCTTAAGCCGCCACAGCTGCCCCTGCACAGCCTGCTGCAGAATCCCCTTGGTAGTAAAGTCAAACGCAGCGCACACGCCTCCCGTGCCATCCACCCAGTCCACCAGCGCCTGTCTATGCGCGTCCTGGTTCCACGCCAGCTGCCCATCCCCATCGTATCTCATCGGATTCCACACCTCCCCAACGGCTAGAGTGGGTTCCGTCGCGCGGCAATACTTCCCGACAAACTCCGCGCCGTAGCCCTTCGCAAAGTCGAAGCGCCACCCGTCGAACCCCACCTCGCGCTTCATCCATAGCAGCCAGTTGATCAAATCCCGCTGCACGCGCGCGTTCGTGTGGTCAATATCCGGGGCCGCCCTGTAATCCTCCCCCGTGTCCGCCTTCCCGTCACCCCCGTACGGCATGTCCCCCGCAGTGATCGCCCACGGCCCCCAGTCGAGGCGCTCGTCGGGGGTTCCCCCCTCGAAGATGGTCCAGTTGCCGTGGGCGTCCTGGAAGTCCCCGCAGCGGTGGTTGATGACAATGTCCGCCATGCACCGCACGTGGGTGGAGTGGAGACGGCGGATGAGCCGCCGCAGGTGGACTTCGTCGCCGTACTTTGATGCGTCGAGGTTGTAAAGCTGCGATGGTAGGTAGCCTGGAAAGAGGGAGGGAGGGCGGACAGGAGTGAGAGGAGTGAGAGGAGTGCATGCTACACACACCCTGCACGTTGCCCCACGCCCCATGCCCCCATATCCCACTTGCCATTCCACATGTCGCATCGCCCATTTCCCACATAGCTCATTATTTTGCAACCCCACCCTCGCGTCCCCCCCTCGCCCCTGTCCGCCTCACCCTGTCTCTTCATGCTTCCCTCACCTTGAGTGCTCCCAGTCTCCCCTCACCCTGTTTATCGACGGCCTTGGAGGGTGGCGGCAGCCACACGTCCGTGAAGCCCATATCCGCCACCTCCGCCGCGCGCGCCATCAGCACGTCGTACCACAGCTGCTTCTCGCCGCGCCAGCTCTCCCAGTTGAACGCCTGAAGCGGGGGGGGGGGGGGGGGGGGAGGACCGAGGGAAAAGGGAACTGGTCTTGTATGTGCGCACCTATATTCTAGACTATGAAGACTAATTAGAGTCTTAGTAGCTTGCATCGGAAGCTCTGGCCTCAACTGTGTGAAGGAATTTGCTGAAAAACAGCAAGACAAAAACTTGCTGTGATTTCATTGAAGAAGGCATTTTAAAAACAGAAAACACAAAGCAAGTTATAAGCAAAAGGATTTCTGATTTCGCCCTCGCGCCGCGCCTAACTTCGAGCTGAGTTGTACTCGGCTCAATTTCCAAATCCAACCATGCGCCGAACGCGCCTCGAGTTCGAATTTCAGACCTCCTTGGACGTGCCTTTGACCCGGCGTGACTTCTCTTCACTTCACTTGAAATCTCGACATTTCAGCCGTGTCCTTCTCCACATCTGCACGCTTCCTCTTCTTCACTTCGTTTCTCACCATAGGTTCCGCTGCTGCCGTGTTCCTTCTTCCACCGCCCCAACATAAGTAGCTTATCTTCTTCTTAGGTCCTCGCCTTCCCTTAGTCTCATCTCGTCAAGGCAGGTCTTTCTTAGGTCGATGTAGGTCGCTCCAGGTTGTGCTAGGTTCTGGTTAGCTAACCACGTTCAACAATCTCCCCTGTGGTTTGCTAACCAACAGCTTGTGCAATCTCCCTTGTACGTTTCACATTGAACCATCTCTAGGCCTGCTTCACACTCCCCTGCAATTCAGCCAAGGTACGTATTCCAACCTCTCTCTTGCAACGCTCAAAGTTAGCCCTTGGTAACACCTTAGTCAGAAAATCTGCCGTCTGTGCCTCCGTACGCACGAATTCAAACGTGAACTCCTTGCTACTCACCTTTGAGCGCACCCAATGATACTTCACGTCCATATGCTTGGTCCTACCATGCCAATTGTCGTTATGAGCCAAGTCGATTGCAGATTTGCTATCCGTGCGAATCACCGTTGGCCCTTCCACCTTGATTTCCGTTTCCTTGAGAAGCCTTCTCAGCCAAACCCCCTCTTGGCATGCGCAAAACAGAGCCACGTACTCCGCTTCCGCACTGGAGAGCGATATGTCAGCCAACTTTTTCTCTTGCCACATTATTGCTGCCCCGCCGAGCAGAAACATGTAACCGTATGCTCCCTTCCTTGTTTTCTTGTCGGATGCGTGTGAGGCATCCGCATACCCCACTAACTCTAGGGTCTCTTCACCTCCTTCAAATAGCAGCCCCTCATTTTCATGCTGCAAGAGGTATCGATGGTCCTCCTCATCTCTCTCCACTTTCTCTCCCCTTGCTGCTGCACTTGTTGCCCAAGGTAGCTAGCTGCGTATGCCATGTCAACACGCGTGCATGAAACAGGGTACATTATGGACCCCACCATGGACTGTTATACCTATAGAGCCCTCTCGTTGCTACCCCATTGGTTGACATCTTCCTCTCGTTCACCGTCGCTTTCAGCTACCCCACTCAATGGTGTAGAAATTGCCTTCGTGTAGCCATTTCCAAACCTCTGCTGCACCCTGCTGCAATATTTCTGCTGGTACAGAAACATCTTCTTCTCCTCCTTACGCCTCTCCAGATTCATGCCGAGAAAGAGTGTGGTCCTCGGAATCTGCTTCACTTGAAAAACTTCCGCAAGGTGAGTGCACACCTTCTCTACCTCCTCCTGTAACGCCCCTGCCACCAAGATGTCATCCACGTATAGCACCAAGAACACCTTCTCCTTCCCTTCTCCCTTCCAGTAGAATGACCTATCACATTCACTTTTCTGAAATCCTCCTTGCAGTAGCCGCTCATCCATCGCCATATACCACTCCATAGGACTTTGCTTAAGCCCATACAGCGCCTTGCCCCAATGATGTTATGCTGTAGAGTGTAAGTTACAGTCTGTCAAACTTATATGATCTAGCCTGTGTAGGCTGTAGCGGGTTAGATACTAAGGGGTACACAATTCTAGCTTTTCACCTTTTGTATCACTTTCATTCCTTAGTCAATCCATTCTCTCGTTCTAAGTTTCTCACAGTCAACTGCCGTCGGATACCCTTGCTCTGTAAAAACTTGTTGAACAGCTCACCGGTAAACTCCCCGCCATTATCTGTCCTCAAAACTTTCAGCACCTTCCCACTCTGCCGCTCCGCTTCCGCCATCCAAGTCATTAAGCTAGGAAACACTTCTACCTTATCTTTCAGCTCTGTCACCCATGTGGCCTCGTTCCCAAATCAGTGAAGGTAATGAAGTAGTGGCTGCCGTGTCGTGACGCCACCCTCATAAGCTTACACACATCGGCTGCTACGATGTCCAAGGTGCCATAAGGCTCCTGCACCTGGTGGTGGGGATGTGGGGATTTTGTGATTGTACCTTCAACACACTTGCTGCATTTTCCCTTGCTTTCAGGCCCCTCCTTCAGTGCCACACCTTTTACCATGCCCTTTTTTACCAACTCCTTGACCCTATCCATGCTTGCATGCCCCATGCGCCTCTGCAAGGTTTCTAACTCCACTTTCTCCACCCCAACCACCATGGCTGAAGCTTCCTGCTGAAGCTCCTTCACAGGTAAGCCACCAAGCCGAGCCTTCAACTCCTCCCTAGTTAGGTCCCCTTCGAGTGATGTCTGGTAGGTGGCATTCTCATCCTCCAGCCCCTTCTTCCTCAGCTTCATTTCATACAACCCCTGATTTCTGTTCCCTTCATCAACCACCTTCCAATCCTCGTTGAAAACCCACAACTTTCCTTTGTCGCTGAAGGTCTTGCACCCCGTGCTGTCAAGTTGAGACTGGCTGATCATATTCAGTGAGAGCTTCTCCACAAAGACAACATTTTCCAGCTTCAGCTCCCCGTGCTCTTCTTGGAGTAGCAACTCTCCTTCCCCCTTCACAATCAGCTTCCCTTCATCCCCCAAGAGCACATACGGTACGTTGGAGATGTGAGAATACAGTTGCAAGTTAGAAACAAGAAAGAGAGAGGTTTGGACTAGCAAGCAGTTGAGTACATATAGCAAACCCTAAGTTGGTCTGTACTCACTATTGAGTACCCCACTGCATGCTAGACAAATATAACATTCTGACACACCCCCATAGCCAAAGTGGGGTGGAATCAGCACAACAAGCAAAGCAAAACAAGCTCAGGGTGGATCACAAAGTCACCACACATTCTGAGCACAAGTACAAGAAGTAGCAGTTTATAGGTCACAGTAATAAGTAAAGCTAGAGGCTATCACAGAGGGTAAGTGAGGAGGAGGAGGGACTATGAGAGGAGAGGAGATAGTGGGCGGCAGCAGAAGCTGCTGGCACACGGCGCAACTGGAGCAACTGGCACACGGGCAACTGGAGCATCTGGCACACTGGCAACTGGAGCAACTGGAACACGGGCTACTGGAGTAACTGGCTCCGCGGCTAACTCTGAGCGGCAGGAGCAGCGGACCCACGGGCGACTGGAGCAACGGGCTCACGGGCAACTGGAGCAACGGGCTCACGGGCGACTGGCGCAACGGTCTCACGGGCGACTGGAGCTGCGGGCTTCACGGCGGCCACCCCCCTTCAACCTCCCCAAACTGTCCCACACCCCTTTCACACACCCCCTGCTGCACCCCTAGGTTCACTCACACTCCACCCCCTAGCACCACTCCGTCGGCTCCCACACACCCACCCCCCTCAGCGGCAGCTGCAGCAGTGGGAGACGGGGGCAGGGCCGCGACAGGGCCGGGGCAGGACGGCAGGGCCGCGACGAAGACGGGAGGCCCCCCCAGGGCGCCGTGACGGGCGACAGAGGGGGGGGCGACGTGCGGCCCCCCAGGCGCGGCCCCCCAGGTCGCCACGACAGGCGACGGGAAGGGGGGGGGGGGGGGGGGGGGGGGGGGGGGAGGGGGGGGCGGTGCGCGGGCCCCCGGTGCGCCGCGACAGGCGACGGGAAGGGGGGGGCGGTGCGCGGGCCCCCGGTGCGCCGCGACAGGCGACGGGAAGGGGGGGGCGGTGCGCGGGCCCCCGGTGCGCCGCGACAGGCGACGGGGCAGGGCCAGGGCGAGGCCGCGACGGGGCCGCGACGGGCGACGGGGCAGGGCCGGGGCGAGGCCGCGACGGGGCCGCTACGGGGTCGCGAAGGGGCCACGAAGGGGCCACGAAGGGCCGCGACGGGTAGCAAACCGCCGCGCGCCCCTAGCGCGCGGCGGGAAGAAAAAAGGCCGCGCACCATGGGCGCGCGGCAGGCAGGAAGATAGCGCGCGCCCGAGGCGCGCGATAGGCAGGACAGCAGCAGCGGAAGCATTGGTGGGCCCATCCACAGGATCGACCCGTGAGGGTCGACCTGCTCTGATTCCATGTGAGAATACAGTTGCAAGTTAGAAACAAGAAAGAGAGAGGTTTGGACTAGCAAGCAGTTGAGTACATATAGCAAACCCTAAGATGGGCTGTACTCACTATTGAGTACCCCACTGCATGCTAGACAAATATAACATTCTGACAGGAGACCCTCAGATTTGTAAACCACTCGCAGTGATTGGTCATGTGCTGAGTGCACCCACTGTCCATGAACCACGCTGCTTCACTGAACCCTTTTGCCACCAAACACACCCCCGATGCCCTTGCCACGTTTGCCTCGTGAGCTCCTCCCAAGATGACGTCAGCTTCACTGTTTTCAGCTTCCACTGCATTTGCTTTTGCTGCTGCTGATTTGTTTTCTGCTCGTTTGCCCCTTGGTAGTTCCTGCTGTTGGGGTTCGAGTAGCAGTTGGCTGCCCTATGCCCAATTTTCTGGCAATAGTGACATGCCCCTGAAAATCCGCCTCTCTGCATCTTGTTATCACCTCGAACCCCCCCCCCCCCCCCAATTTGCTGCCATCCGTTCTGCAACCCCTTCTGTTGCGGACCGCTCCATTTCCCCTTGAAATTTCTGCTCCTTGGGTTGTCATAGCAGTCTATCTGCTTATGACCCTTCTTCCCACACTGAAAACACGCCCCGAAACCTCCATATCCTTTCCCTGTTGCTGCTGCGTTTACCATAGCATGTGTGGCTGGTCCCATTCCATTCAAGCTAACCTCCTTCCTGAGCCGAGCAGCTTTCACCCGCTCCAAAGCTTGGAGCATCTCCAACAGCTTGGTCATATTTGCGGGTGGGTTGCAGGTTAGGAGCCCTATCTCTGCTTCCCACTCCTTGGGCAGCCCACTAATGATGTACCCCATCATTTCACCTTCAGTTTCAGCTGCCCCCATAGCCTTGAGGTCGTCATTGTACCCCTTCGCCCGATTCATGCAGTCAATGACCCTCTCCCTCGGCTCCATATTCAATAGAAGGAGTTTCTTCCGAATGGCGGCTTTGTTGGAATCCATAAGCCCAAGGTAAGCTGCTTCCATGTACTCCCAGGCTCGTTCGGCAGAGTTCTCCTCTTCCGCAAATTGATCCAGCCCCACTGCAATGCTGTCTGAAACTGAATGACATAATTGGAAAAAAGCTTGCTTACTCCTTTTTTTGAATGACGCATTTTCTTCGGGTTTTTCTTTTGCAGATGGTGGGACGCCCTCTCCCGTCTCCTTGTCGGGATGATAGTATGGCCTGAGATCCACTTCCTCCGCTCTACGAATGAACTTGAGTCGCCACGTGCTATCATTTTCTCCATAGAATCGTCGGGCCTCGCTGAGCCCAATTGTTGGTTTCGCCGATAACCGATCTTGTGCCAGCGCTAATAAAATGGCATGTAGTTCTGAGCCTCCAATGCTAACAGAAAAGCCCGAACTCACCTCAGTATGATCGCCTGTCATACATAATAAATTTCGCCTATCCTTAAAACGCTAGAACACGCCTTCAACCCGCTCTGATACCAGCTCTTGTATGTGCGCAGCTTTTATTCTAGGCTATGAAGACTAATTAGAGTCTTAGTAGCTTGCATCGGAAGCTCTGGCCTCAACTGTGTGAAGGAATTTGCTGAAAAACAGCAAGACAAAAACTTCCAGTGATTGCATTGAAGAAGGCATTTTAAAAACAGAAAACACAAAGCAAGTTATAAGCAAAAGGATTTCTGATTTCGCCCTCGCGCCGCGCCTGATTTCGAGCTGAGTTGTACTCGGCTCAATTTCCAAATCCAACCATGCGCCGAACGCGCCTCGAGTTCGAATTTCAGACCTCCTTGGACGTGCCTTTGACCCGGCGTGACTGCTCTTCACTTCACTTGAAATCTCGACATTGCGGCCGTGTCTTTCTCCACGTCTGCACGCTTCCTCTTCTTCACTTCGTTTCTCACCATAGGTTCCGCTGCTGCCGTATTCCTTCTTCCACCGCCCCAACATAAGTAGCTTATCTTCTTCTTAGGTCCTCGCCTTCCCTTAGTCTCATCTCGTCAAGGCAGGTCTTTCTTAGGTCGATGTAGGTCGCTCCAGGTTGTGCTAGGTTGTGGTTAGCTAACCACGTTCAACAACCGGAAGGGTGAGGCTTTTCAACGACAAGTGATTCAGACAGAGGTGGAAGCTGCAGCAGCAGCAGCAGCAGCCTACCCCGGGCCCTTTTTTTGTTTCAGCCGCCTTCTTTCCCCCCCCCCCCCCATTCTCCCTCTTCCCCTCATTTTCCCGTTCTAGTCGCATTACCTGGAGCAGAACCGACTCAGTCGTGGGTGTGCGGATATTCCCGCCCTCGCTCTCTTCCTCCCCCACTTCCAGCTTCTCCCCATTCGCCGCCATCGTCGCGCCTTGCGCCGCTGGCCCTTCCGCCGCGTGCTGCTGCGCCGACTCCTTCCGCGCAAGAAGCATGCTGTCGCTCATCCACTCCACCGCGCGGGGAAGTTGCAGCGCCCGCCGCCCGTGCGCGGGGAGGATGGGGAGGCGGTAGGGCGGAGAGT